GTTCCTCAGCTCGCAAAGTCCTTGCTGTACTAATCTGAACATACAACTGTCTGATCCGGAGTCAAATATACCATTGTTTTCCCACAAGGCCTTCGGAAATTTAAGAGTTTTTAAATGGCTGAGTGCTTCTGAGAGCTGCTGTGTGTGTGCGTGTGTGTGTGTGTGTGTGTCTGTGTATGTGTGTTTGTGTGTGTGTGTGTGTCTGTCTGTCTGTGGCAACTGTTCGCCCCCTAGTGGCTGTTGGACAAGTGAGTCTTTAAGAAAGAAAAATTGGGTCAAAACTACAAAAATGGGTTTAAATGAGTTGGACACATAAACTGTGGAGAAAACTTTTCAAGCAGGAAGACACAGAAATTATGCTTGATTAATGTCTTTAAAGAGAGCAATAAATAAATCAAGGTAACTATTCTTCACAGGCATAATGAAAGTAAGTAACCTAAGAATTGCTTCAGTAATAACTTATATTAATTTAAGAAGCAATGTCTAGGTTTAGAGTTAGAAGGCTGTAGTTAGAGGCTTGCTTTTTCTCCTTAATAGCCATCAGAGAATGGCCTTGCAACACGCAAGGTAGTGTAAAAGTTGTGCCAAGTTTTTGACCCACACTGGGACATTTTTCCCTCTTGGGATTGTGGACCCGGTAGCAGAGCAGGCACGGCTGGAACGGTGAAGGAAGGTTAACTCTTGGCCAAAGAATAGGAGACACTGGAGAAGGGCTCAAAGTCAGCCTCTCAACTCACTGGGGGTGGAGAAGTCATAGATATAAGAAAAAAGAAATAGAAGGAGGGATAACTTAATAAAGGCAAAGAACCTCTATGTCTTTTCTGGGAATGGGCAGATTTTTGGGGGATCTAGGTGTCACTGTGATGGTCGAAAAAAATAACTCCCAACCTGTTTGTTGTCAGATGTGCCAAGTTCATGGTCTCAAAACATCCAGGGATGAAGTTCTGAGCCAAAGGAGGAGGTTAGGAGAGTTTTACTGGAAATAGGATAGTAGCTCCTGGATTTCAAGAAGGGATCTCCAGTGGATGGCTGCTAAAGCTTTTTGTCAGGGGTATTTTATACAGCAAAATCACAGCAGGTACAATGTGGGTCAAACTGTAATCAACCTACAGGATCACAAGTACAGTCACTTAGCTAACGGGTACATGGCAAGAATCCTTCATCATTAATTCTAGCTTATCTATGACTTCTAATCTTAGAATGAAAGAAGGTATTTTGGGAGGGGAGGGGAGTATGGGTCCAGATGTCCCCCATCGATGTGCCTGGCGTCTATCCAGGCTCAGCTGGTCAGGTGGTGCTGATTACACTGTAACCTCAAATTGCCGTTTATCTTTAGGGAGGCCTGCATGTGGCTTTTTCGAGGGCCCAATGCCTCTCTGCCTGTAATTTCCATCTAATTTACTACCTCTCTTTGATCCTTGTATGGTTCTTTCCACTGGTCATCATACCAAATGTCAACAGTCATGGTGCTGAGCGTGTGTCAGAAATGGGATTATAAAGAAGGTAAGAAGTTGAGATTGTCTGGTGATCCCTCTGGCAGCCATGTAATATCCAACCAGCTCTGGGGAGGCCACTTGCAGAGAAAGTTCTGAACCTCAGAGACCCTATCCTCAAAGATAAACAAGAGAGGAGGCTGAGGTAGGAAGATCATAAGTTCAAACCAACACTGGCCAACTTAGTGATTTAGCAAGAGCCTGTGTCAAAATAAGAAGTTGAAAAAAGAGCTAGTGATGTAGCTCAGTGTGAAGGCTTTGAGTTCAATCCCTGGTATAAAAACAAAGAGAACAATGCAAAGTAGAAATTCAGCTCAGTTGCCTAGGTAGTATACTGGGTAATATGGAAATCAAGTTTGAAAGAATTAAGACGATTTATTTTTTCCCAGGTAAACCTCGTTTATACAACATCTGCCTTCTCCAAATTTTATAAGCAGTCTGTTGTTGCAGATGTCAGGTAATGTGTGTCCCCTGCTTTGGGAGTTATAGTGAATAGTGATTGATAGCCATAGAAATAGTACATTTTCTATAGAGATGCATCCTATGGTAATGGCTCCAAATCTGAATCCAATTCAGTTGTCTGGATATACCTAATGTGATGCTCTCCCTTTCCAACCCCCCAAAATAAGAGCCAGTGACCACCTAGAAAAGGGAGCTGGATTCAGTCAGAGCTTGTGCTCATTCGCTTTGGATGTGTTAGTTGGGTCTCTGCCTTCCTGAGAAAATCTAATTCCTAAGAGGCAAACCCTGAACATCTCTATCTTTTTCCTACAGCAGCAACAACAAAGGTGGCCTCCTTGTCCACTTTTGGATTGTGTTTGTCATGCCTCATGCCAAGGGCCACATTTTCTGTGAGGACTGTGTGGCTGCCATCTTGAAGGACTCCATCCAGACGAGCATTATAAACCGGACCTCTGTGGGGAGCTTGCAGGGCCTGGCTGTGGACATGGACTCTGTGGTACTAAATGGTGATTGTTGGATAACTTTTCTTCAAGCATTCCCTCTTGTAGCACTTCTGACACTTGCTATTATCATAGTCAGTATTGTAATAAAGTGTTCCCTTCCTCAATCCCAGTGGCACAGGGTTAGCTGAAGGCATTGGAACTATATACGTTAAGGAAATTGCTAAATGTTATATGTAGTCAGTGACTGAAGAATAGAATTGAAGATGTAATGTAGACAAAATTGAATTTTAAAAAATGTAGCCCTCCTTACATTTACTCTGCTTATGCATCTTCAACTAAATTCCCAAAGAAAAAAGTCTTAGAAAGTGAATTTTGCTAAGGTCTATTTTGTCTCCCTCCTTGTGTAGACAGAACAATATCTATAATATGTAGTATTTCCCAGTACTCCAAATGGCTTGCCCCATATCCCTGTCAAACTGCAAATTGGATCACTCTTTTTTGACAGTGATGTAAATGGTTTAATCATTGCATCACCCAATATTTCTGCAGATTTGCCTTTCATTTAAGATATATATGTATACATATATATATATATGTGCTAGCCATATGATAAGTAGATGATAAATGGATGATAAATATTTGTTAAATGGAAAAATCTCTAGTGGGAAATTCTGCACTGTATTTACTCTTTCAGTCATTATTTTTATTTGCTTGGTTGCTTTCTTACCTTTAAGCAATGTTCATAACTCCATGTGATTAGAAGGGTACAGAAGTAAGGAGAAGCATATAATAAACTCCTACATACTGTATTCTTAGCTTCAAAAACTATCAACTTAGAACTGTAAATCTCTGAATACTCAAATAACCTCCCCACTGTTACTGGATTATGTTCAAACACAATCTCATACGTGTTTGATTGTTCTAAAGAAGGACCAAAAGTAATTTTTGTTAAAAAAAAAAATTCTAACAAAATGAAATGCTAGGACTAACGGTCTCTCTCTATGTGCTTTTGCAATGCAGCGGGGCTTCGTTCAGATTACTCGTCAACCATAGGATCTGGTAAATTCTCTCACGTGTGTCCCCTTCACCCATCTCTGCATTAGTATTGTTTTTGGCCATAATTTTCCCTCTTTTTCATGATTTCCCCTTTCTAATGATATTTGCTAGTGCCTTTCTAGTTGCAAATGACAAAGTTGGCCCAAGCACAAAGGAAACATGACAGGTGTGTGCGACTAGGACAGATGTGCAATGCGTTGGCTCCAGGCGTGATACAGTCCAGCTTCTAGAATAATGGATCTGCAGGGCTCTGCAGCTCCGCCTTCCTCTGCTAAGGCTTCGTTATCAAGTCTGTTCTTTCACTGTGATAGTAAAAGCAGCCACCTCCATGTGGACCAGACTTATAGTTTATAGTATTCCCAGTCACTGTAGAAAAATTCCCCGTACATATTTCCCGACAGTTTTTGAAGTCCTGGGGCTGAATGTCATTACCCAGGTTGGCTGACATGCCTATCCTCGAGCTAATTTCTTTAGGTCTGATTGGCCAGTCTGAATCACGTGCCCACATCAGGAACTAGGGGTGAGTTTAACCCCAAACAGGCTATCTAGGCAGAGTAGGGACAGTTCCCTAAGCAAAGTCTAGGTACTGTTATCCTGGAAAGGAGATGGACTGGCAGACAGCGCATGTCCTCTGCATGCCCTCTTTTGCTCTTTACACTTCTATAAAGTTTTCTAGAAAACTTCCTAAAAACATAAAAGTAAGTCAAGAGAGAAAGAGAGAGAGAGAAACAGAGAGAGAGAGAGAAAGAAAGACAAAAGGCAAGTCCTTCTCCACAGACAAAGGCTGTTCTCAGTACTTCTATGCAGATCATCTGTCCCTCCGCTATCCTCTGGAGATTTCTGCAACCTCAGGGCAGCTGATGTGTCATTTCAAGCTGGTGGCCATAGTGGGCTACCTGATTCGTCTCTCAGTTGAGTCCATCCAACTGGAAGCTGACAACTGCATCACTGACTCCATCACCATTTATGATGCCCTTTTGCCAATTCGGAGCACTGTTCTGTACAGGTACGTAGGTGGTGCTCTTGTGGATGGGTGAAAAGTTTTTTTTTTTTTTTTTTTTTTTTACAGTGTCTGTTTTGCAGTATTTAGGTTCCTCTTGGATTTTAAGAAAACATTTTTGTGTATATATCTTGGCTCCTTTTCTCTCGTTGCTGAGACAAAATACCTGATGCTCAACATTAAGGAAGGAAAGGTTTATTTAGCTCATGGTTGGTGGAGGTTTCAGTCCATACTCAGCTGGCTCCAAGGCTGAGTGGCACATGGCCAAAGGCAACAGTTCATGGTAGCAGAAGACAGCAAAAGCAAGTGGAGGAGCAGCAAGCAGCCTCTTTCCCTCCCTTATACTGTATGCAAAATACCCGCCCCAGGGCGAGTGCAGCACTCACACCCATAATCCTAGCATTGGACCATGAGTCAATCATAAACCCTAGAAGCCCACCCCATGACTGCATGAGGGTTTTTGGGGACATCCAGACACAAACCATAACAGTACACTTATGGAGTTAAAGGCTGACCTCTGCCTATTTTGCACCCTTATATTTTTGTACCTTTGCCAGAGCGCGGCGGATTTGATGTTTGTTTGGCATTTATAGCACACAGTCTCTCAAAATGAGGAAAGCAGGAACTTTAGCCAATCTATCTAAAAATAACAGATAGTTTTGGTTAATTTTACTTTTATTGCAGTGACAGTGAAGTCTACTGTTCAAGTGTAAATATTCTATGATGATTATGGAGCATTAGTAAAACTTTTTTTTCTTACTACAAAGATAACAGAAGTTTGTTGTAGAAAATAAGGTCTGTTAGAGAAAATCACATCAATTACTTTACAGTCTCATTGTCCAGAAGAAATTTCTGCCATATTTTAGCATAAATGTTTTCATATGAGTGTACATACATGTACTTATCCATATCCTAATATTTTTACTTAGTAATAGACAACTGTTTAAGGGTATTTAATACTCAATGACTTTATAATACTACAGTAACAGGCTTTATTAAATGAAACTGACTTATTACTCACTGTTAAAAATATGTGAATTACCTTACTATTTTAATAGTGTTTATGTATGTCACAGTATTTTGGTGGGGTATGTGCATATGTAATTATATTTTGGTGATGAGTATGACTGTTAAAGATTCAGCCCTATATAAGGATATGTAATAAAAGTAAGTTTTAAAATTGCCTCTCATTCCTCAATGACTGCTAGTTTCTTTCCATCCTTCTAGATATTCTTAGCATTATCTCACTTAATCCTCCCCACAATCCTCTGAGAAGCCCAGTATTATTATTACTACCATTTCATTGAAAGGAACCTGGCACTTCCCTGTATTTAGTTGCTTGATAGCCTGACATCTTTATCTAATTCATTGGGGGAGCTGATGTTGGGATCCAGTATTCTGGCTGCAGAACCCATGATCTTAACTATGACATATCCTGCCTTTTTACCTTATTTGTACTCTAAAGGGAGGCCCCAGGAATAGGCATCCAAGAGAATCCTTTGGTGGTAGCTACTGAACAAACATTTCTGTGCCTTTTTCAGCTCCATTCCATTTACAGTACTCTGTGGCCACTCACTGGTAAAGACTTGGCTGTGGAGACTGATTCAGGAGAACAGGACAGAGGGCTGTGGAAATGTGCGGAGTTAATGTCAGACGGAGGTCTGTTCCTCAAATAGCCTATTATTCATGTTCCTTGTTTTGTTATCTGATTTCAGACTCTGTGAACCCACAAAAACACTAATGTCATTTGTTTCTACGAATAATCTCATGTTAGTGACACTTAAGTCACCTTACATACGGAGGTTGTCAGGAATCCGGGCTTATTTTGAGGTCATTCCGGAACAAAGTAAGTCTTCTCCAATTTAAAGAAAAAAAATCACCCTTGGAAATCCTTGTTCTGATGCTCTAGTCTTATCTTTCCTGAAACTGTGCTGTGAAACTAGCTGTATTGGTCATTATTCTGATTGACTCAGGGTTCAGTCAGAAGAGAAAGGAAAGAGTGAATGTAATAAGCCCTGGTAAATTGGCATAAAGGTAATTCAAAACAAAAGAGAGCCTGAAGAAGGTAAGAGATGTAGGAAGCTCTCAGGTTGGAGGGACAAAGGAAAGAGGTTGAAATTGTCGCAGGTTGGAGCTTGGGCGAGCAGGTCTGTTGCATGAATATCCCGCCCTTTTGGAGAAGCTGCCATTTACCTGCCTGTATTGCTGAGTTCAGAACTATGTTTTTAAAGAAAGCCATAGCACCCTACAGATCTGTAGCCAAAATACAGGATTTGAAAACAAACATGGAATTTGAAAGCAAGCATTTCATAAACATCTGTATAGTGCTATTTCTTTAAAAAACAAAAGTTAAAAAATATACCACCTTGTTCATCAAGAAAGTGTGCATTTGTGATCACAGAAAGGGATGATATGTATTTTTGCATAATTTCATAACTGCAAGTCATTGTGTGTGATTGGATATCTTTTTCAGAATGTGAAAACACAGTGTTGGTCAAAGAAATCCCTGGCTTTGAGGGAAAGATTTCGAGTCCATATTATCCAAGCTACTATCCTCCAAAATGCAAGTGTACCTGGAAATTTCAGGTAGCCGAGTTTTATTAGAATTTTGGGAAAATACTATTATCCTATTTTTGGTACAATTTTATTGTTAATTTTCATTACCCTTATTTTGTAAATTACAAAAATAATATCACTTAATTTTATAAAGGTTGAACCTTATCGAGATATATTAACTACGAAGTAAAATTTTCCTGTAATTTGAACCCTCTACTGACAAATTAACTGTTCTTAGCAGTGGGCTTATTTCTCTAGCTTGCTTTATGTATATATAAAAAATGCAAAGGTGTTGCTGCAGAATAAAATGATTATTTTATTATGATAGAATTCATTTATCAATTATTGATTACTTTATTATAGAAATAATAAAAATAATAAGTTGGATTATGCAATATATATTGTGCGTAAACAAACAAAAGTGTAAATTTATATAAAATATGTACCACTGTGGCGTTAGGGCATTACTTTTTTAAATCTTAGGCTAAGCTATTTTGCTTTATTCAACTATAATATCATACAAAGATAAGGCAAAGTATCACCTTGGCTCCTTCAGTATACATCTAAAATCATTATTGTGTAGCACAGCAATTAGACCTAAGTAGCAATTATATGTAGTTTGTGTCATCAGTGTGGTTTTGAATGAACTAGCTAGGTACTCAGGCACTACTCCGGACTCAGAGTATGTCCTATGAAACTGGACACAAACAAAAACAAAAATCTCTCATGGAGCTTACCTTCCAGTAGAGGGAGACAGGTCACAAATAAAAAGTTACACATCCAGTGAGCCCTCGTATCTGTGCTTCTTGTGTCTGTGGATTCAACTGACTGCAGATTGTACTGAGCATGTGCAGATATTGTCTTGTCCCTGTTCCCTAAAAAACACAATACAACATGTATTGCTTTCCATGCAGCATTTCCATGGCCCTAGGTGTCATAAGTAATCTAGAGATGATTTAAAAGTATGCAGGAGGATGTGTATATGTTATATGGAAATGCTACAACATTTTATGCAGGTCTCTTGAGCACCCACCGATCTGGATAGTTGTTGGAGTCCTGAAACCAGTTCTTTTCACAGAGTTGCGACAGTTGTGTGTAGGATGTAACACGGTGACTAATGCTGTGGGGAAAAAGCAGGGAAGGGGGCCTTACAGCTTGCATAGAAAGTTGGAAAGGAATGAGTTAGGATTTTATTATCTGAAATAGGATGGCCAAAGAAAGCCTCATTGCCAAGAGAACTTTATGGAGATACCTGCGAAAGATGAGGGAACTAAATTTGTAGACCTGTAGGATACGAATGCTGCAGTAAGGGGGACAGGTGAGGAAAGATTCTCGGGCAGGCAGTGCTTGCTGCAGGTATGATTACTTGTGTGCAGCCAAGGCAGTTAAATAGTTCAAATAATTTCACTACTCTCCCCAAATCTATACTTGGTGTTGATGTCCTGGTGATACACAGACTTAAATTATTTGTTATTCTCACAAACACCTCCAAACTAAGTAGAAGATAAAGATGCTGGGATCTTTTTTACCACCAGACTTTCAAGGTGTTAAGGTTTCAGCTGATCAGTGAGGCTGAGGCGGGGGGAGATGTGAAGAAAGAGGAGATGAAAGAAGAGCTAGCAAAGGAAGAAGGAAAGACAGCAACTCTCTGTCTCTGCCGTATCTTCAGAAAGCAGACTTGTCTCCTTGTGTTAGTGCAATAGCCAGAGCAAGAGCGGTACCATTCTCAGGAGCTCTGTCAAATGCCTGAAATTCTTTTGATGTCAAATCAATATGATGCTACGATAACTCATATACTTAAAATTTAAATCCCAGACCTTGTTGATGGGATTTTTTAGTCAGAGTGTAAATAGGAATAGAAAGTCACTTTCTGTGTTTCTACGGGTCAAGGGCTCGAAATGGTGACGACACCGTTTCACAGAGAGCAAGGCGTGTCCATCTCCTGTGGAGGTGAAATAAATAAAATCATACTGCTTCATAAATAAATTAGGCCTCCACCCTTTTTCTGGGGTTCTGAAGATGATCGTCTTTTCTATGCTTCCTAATAATCACTAAGCTGAACATGATCTCCCTTCCCTTTGCTGCCTTTGGTTTCCAAGGTTACGGCAAAAATTCGGGCTGTATTCCGCAACAGACCAAAGAGAACAGACAAAGTTTTAATTTAGACCTGTTGGTCACCTCTCATCCCGACTTGCAAGTCAGGGACGTGGGCGTGGACCTACCTTTGTTCCCAGCTTATATACATTTTTGGTTTCCATGGTAATAGATTGGAATGTTGTAGCCCTGGCCACACGTTGCCGGGTCAGGTTCCAGTCATGAGCCCATCCACAAGGATATATACTTTCTGTACTCTGTTCTATATGTCCCCCTTTAGATAACCATACATTTCCTTTCTGGTTACAATGTTTATCTAGGGCCAGGGAAAGGATGAAATAACCCAGGAAGGGTCATAGGTGGTTATCTGGGCCTGGGTGTTCTTTGTCCTTGGAGAAGCATTCCAGGGCTAAGTCAGGACTGCAAAGTTAACCCTTTACAACCCTCTGGGATGTTTCTCCAGACACATTTTGAGGCTTGCATTAAGACTAGAATTATTCTATCTTAAAATGATATGCTAAGAGTCATCGTCCCCTACACCAATACCTTTTGTTACAGAATCCTTGAAGAACAGATAGAGCAGGGCATTGACTTGTTTTATCACAGATCGTTGGATTTAGCTCACCAGATATACTCTGGGCCCTGCAGGTCACTCCCTCCTCTCACTTAGGGAAGCGGTGGGAGCACACAGGAGGGAGCCCCTTTCTCTGCTTCTGTAAAGGAAATACGCAGGCATCTTGCCACAGAAACTTCCGGTGCTCATCTGAGGAGGGCTTTTGGGTTGTGTATACCCAATCACTACCAAGTTAGGGGTAACTGAAGGATAAAACATTGCCATTACTGAGTAGAGAAATAATTAAATTGCACAGGTCCAGATCAGAATTGCTTTCTCTGCTTGTTTAAAGTTACCAGTGCAAAGGCAGAGGGTGGAGAATGGAAACTGAGAACACAGAACACATAAGGAAATAGTGCACTTGTTTTCGTTCATTTGTCAGAAGAGCTTGTAACATGCTGTGGAACTGCACCTTTCATTCATGATCAAGCAGGTTGGTGTTGGTAGTGCCTTTCAGACAATCCGTGCACATGTAGAAATGTGCGCAGCTCCGTGTCAGTGAAGGCAGTGTTCTTTCCTTTCACTGTACAGAAATTTAAGATTGAGGCACGGTCGTGCATAAAAATCCATTTTATTTTGAAGCAGCAGGACATAGTATAAACACCAAAGAAAGCTTCTTGGTAGAGAATTGTAGTGAAAGATGTTCTTACACTAAAACTGTTGGTTTTTTGAGACAAGATTTCACAGTGTAGTCCAGGTTGGCCTGGAACACATGATCCTTCTGCCTCAGCCTCTGGAGTGCTGGCATTACAGATGTGCAGCATTGAACCCCTCTTCATGCTGTGAAATGGACATTTGTTACTTAAGATACTGACTCCCAGTTTGTACCTTTTTTATGCGAAGAAATGTTCATCTGACAGGCCCGGGAAAAGATTGATATGTGTGCTCATGAGCTCTGGGCTTTTGTCCAACCTAAGATCCTCCCGGTCCTCTTAGGAGGAGTTTTGCATGTCAGTTTCAGTTTGCAAGCAGCAATGATGACTGAGGGGAAAGCGTCCTGTAGAGAAAGCAGGACTTGTTTGAACCTCTAATCTGCATTTCCTAACCTTGAGAAAGTCGTTCATTTTTTATTAGTTTCAGCATTTCCTTTATAAAATGAGACTTAGGCTACTTGTCTAACAGGGTTGTCATGATGTTTAAATGAGAAATATGAAGTATCTGATTCGTTCCCTCTCAAAGGTAGGCAGTACAGGGTGGGTATCTATATTTAAGTGTACACACACACACACCTTACAGGAAAACATAACACATAAAATTGTTACATAACTAAAACCAAATAGATAAAAGTCAATGAGGCTGGGCATGGTGGCGCACGCCTGTAATTCCAGCACTCAGGAGGTTGAGGCAGGAGGATTGTTGTGAGTTCGAGGCCAGCCTAGGCTACAAAGTGAGCTCAACGCTAGCCTGAACTGCATAGCAAGACCCTGTCTCAAAAAGCCAAAAAAAAAAGTCACTGGGTAAAATTCATCTAAATAAAATGACAATAGGATTGAGTTACACAGTATTGCGTAAAACTTATTATTACTTTCAAAAGACAAAATATACTGAAAAAGTGCCTTAATGAAGCTGGACAAAAAGAAAGCAGTGTTCATGATCTTAGTGCCAGGCAACACACAAACCAGGGAGGCAACATTCCTGATTTGAAAGTACCAGAAGGAAGACAGGCGACCTGCAGTGGTGAAAAGAGTGGACTACAGGATCTAACTGTGACCATTATTTATGCAGCAAATGACAGAGCATTAATGCTTATGAAGCGAAAAGTATAGGATGTACAAAGGGAAGCGGGTAATGGCTGGATAGGTTTTAATTCCCTTTTCTTGACCTTACTTGATTCATGCCAGAGATAGTAAGGGACAGTAAATGAGTCTGAGAAGGACATTAACTGTGCTGATGACTTCAGGATAGCAAAGAATACTCCCATGTTCAAGTGACAGTGAAATATTCATAAATTTGATCACAATATTCCTGTAATCCCAGCACTCTGGAGGCTGAGGCAGGAGGATCACCGCAAGTCTGAGGCCAGCATGGGCTACAAAGTGAGTTCAAGGCCAGCCTAAACTGCATAGCAAAACTTTGTCTGAAAAAAGCAAAAAAAAACTTTAAAAATTATTTTATTTTATTTTGAAGAAAAGAAATACAAGAAGTAAAATACCTTTAGAACAACAAGCTGAGGGAGGAGTAACAAGAGTGAACAAGATTCTAGCCTGAAACACGTGCTTTGATGTTGCATTTTTCTGACTTGATGTTTGTTTTTCAGACTCCCCTGTCAACTCTTGGAATAGCACTGAAATTCCATAACTACTCAATAACCAAGAAGAGTGCAAAAGGCTGTGAGCACGGATGGTGGGAAATCAACGAGCACATGTAACTGATTTTCATTATGTGAGGACTCTGATGAAAAGTTCACCCCTAGAGCTGCTGGCCCCAGTTTGCATGTTGCTGTTTACCCAGAGGGAAACCAAGGGATAGAATAAAGAACCTACAAAATGCCACTCGCCTCCTGAGCGACTGAGACAGGATTCCAACCCATGTCTTAGGGTTTTTGCCTAACTCTGCTTGATGCTGAGGAGATAACCCATGTGTATTTTCTACACTTCATACAAGCATTTGGTAGATAAAATTTTCAATGTCCTGGAGCCACAGGGAAAATAAAATATAGGAGTTTTGGTACAAGAGTTTGAGGTCATTAGACAGTCTTGTGTGATAGGAAAGGTCTGATGGGCCTGGCTGGATTCTAAGGATGACAAATGAGTTGAAGCTGATTAGAAAGAAATTCAGGAGATCTAGGTTCTTGGGCTTCCTGAATCAATCTAGTAAGCCCCCACTCTTAAACTCTTAAATAAACTCTTGTTTGTTTCTAAAAACTTTAATACATATTCAGTAGGCATTAGGCTAAATTAATGTTCAAATACACCGGATGCCCTGTTTTAATAGCAAAGTAGCTTCTCAGTTTATTTTCTCAAAAGAATCTTGTGATAGTAAAGGACTTGCCTAATTCTTTGATCATTGTTATTCCCCGTGAAGGAAATCTTCCTTTTCGAAGTGCTTTCCTGAATAGTCAGTCCCCTTTGATTTCCTTTAGACAATCTGCAAAATGGTCATTGGTCCTATATTCATGGAATAGGTAGTGTCATATTTGAAACCATTCCTGGATCCATTATTAAAATA